AAAACAACAACAAACAAAAGCCGTAATATAAAACAAGGTATAAACTCTGTCACAGCCAGATGGTCGTATGCTCATTCAATATTATGTTAAGGAAAAACAAAACACACATTAAGAAAATATACTGCTCAGTTTCCAAACAATACAGTTGATAATTTTCTCCTTTATATACGCACACATGCGCTAACACACCCTGGCTTAACTTTGGATTCTTAAGAAAAATTACAGCTGTTTTACCAAAACAAAAGGAAAGTTATTTTAATATATGGGTGGTATGTATTGTTCTAACTGTCAAGTATCATTAAAACGTTATATGTCTTGTATAATGTTACAAGTAGAAACATACATGTGTTTGTTTATTTTATAATTTCGCTCAAAGCTACACGAGTGCTATCTGTGCTAGCCGTCCATAATTTAGCAGTGTAAGACTAGAGGGAAGACAGCTAGTCATCACCACCCACTCTTGGGCTACTCTTTTACCAACGAATAGTGGGATTGACCGTCACATTATAACGCCCACACGGCTGAAAGGGGGAGCATGACATACATGTGTTGAAATAAGTTTTTTTATTTATCTGGATATAAATGATACGAAACTGAACGTAAGTTGAATATAGATTTTATTGTCTTAGTGTATTTAATTTTCATAGTCTAATAATACGTTTGATCCTCACACGTTTCAAATATTGTACCAATTTAATTTAATGAAGCTTATTTCAAATATATTTTCAATATTTTCTATTAAAAACGATGCCTCATTTTCTACCCTATAAATTTTACCAAATAATAATAATACTCAAAGTTGTTAGTTTGAATTGTGAAGAGTATGAAATAAATCTCTACTAATTCTATGTACAGAAAAATACATCAATAGAAGGATCGAACTTCCAAATAATGCTGTGTTGCTTTTAAAACGTTGATTTTAAATATTACTTGCTTTTTATACAAACAGTGAGGAAACCAGTAATCTGGAGGTTGCGAGAAGTTTTAAATTCAAACAAGGATTAGATGTATGGTAGAAATAAATTCACTGTGTTAAATAAACAGATGCGGAATTTTAACGATTATTCAAATAATTAGACTTTTTTTCGTTTCAACAAATGTTTAATTAGTATTTTTGGTGCAAATGTTAACATGGTTGTTTCGTTTAATTCCGTGTTTCTTCTTTAACTGTACTTCATCAACGATTCGTCGGGGAAAATTGTTTAAACGTGATTATTCAAAATATCCATTTAAGACTTCATTACCAGGAGTTTAAATTATATATAGGATGATGTTTACCTTAAAGGTAAAAACAGGAATTATATTCCAGCTATTGTCCATTATCAGTTGTAAAATTACATAGGTGAAAAATTCTGACATGAAAAACTATTTTTTTGCAATTATTTAAAGTTCGTCTTTATAGCTAACTTAACCAATTCTCAAGAGGGGGCGCACATAACTGAAAACAAAGCTTTTCATTGTTGTTATGTTAAAGTAAAACTACACAATGGGCTATTAGCGCTCTGTCCACCGTGGGGAATTAAACCCCGGATTTTAACATTGTAAGTCCAAAAACCCACTAAGAAGATACGGTTTTATTAGTGTAAATTAACAGTTTAAAAAAAAGTTAGGACTTTTTACTAATAAGTCTAACACTTTCATCATGTAGGCTTGTCTTCCTCAGAATCAATAGAAAACCTGTCGAAACACTAGAGTTTTAAAGGTTCAACCTTCTTTGATCCTCTTTATTTGTCCTCCAACATTCTAGTTTTATACACAAAAGACTAAGCAGGTTTTAAGTCCACAATTATATATAGATACCGAGAAATACTGAGATTTAAAACAAGCTCAAAACAACTCCGATCTCGGTTGTTATTTATAATCGCATATTGCGGTTCTTAACTGTGGAAAGAAACGTGTGCCCATTATTCTTTATTTTAGTTTCGTTCATATGAAATACATGTATTAGTGTGGTGGAGAGAACATATTACTTACAATCTTCATAAAGCATGCATCTGAAAAGCGATAAAACCTTTAATGTTTAATTACACAAAACAGGGACTTTTCTTGTAAAATATTGTTCTTAACAGAAATGAAACGTTTAAAAGTTATTCTCAAATATTTTATATTAAATCAGAATAACTTGTTTGTTTTAGAGTTTTCGCGTAAGTTGTTTGTTTCAGAATTTTCGTACAAAGCTACAGAAAGGTTATCGTCACACAGACATCCCTAATTTTGAACTACACGGAAGGTAGCTTGTCAACAACACCAATTGCCATCTCTTGAGCTAGTCTTGTCTAGATAAATAATGAGATTTGACTGTCACTATTATGGCACATATACAGCCCTAAAGTACAAAGAGCGTTTTTGAGGCAAAGTGGCGCAAACCATGAACTTTCTGAACCACAGGTTTGGCACGCTAACAACTCAGCCATCCTGACCCATCAATGTGACATAAAAATTACTCCAATGCAACAACAAGTTAGAATATCTTCCAAAATAGTGTTATATATATGATAGTTGATTTTCTGAAAAACAACTACTGGGGCCCGGCATGGCCAGGTGGTTAGGGCACTCGACTCGCAATCTGCGGGTTCGAATCCCCGTCA